TAATAAACACTAATTTCAAAAGATTTATATATTGTATTGTGTGCTTTGATTCTTAACATTGGAATTTTAGAGTGCTTATCCTTTAAGACAATTAGAGGGGCTTTGGAAGAAGGATTGTTGTCGGAAAGCGAGCATTAGTAGCTTTTTTTTTTTTATTTGTGTGTGTGGGGGTGTGTTTTGCCTTTATAATTAATCTTTGTCCTTTTAATAATGAGTTTATCTAATAGTTGCCTATAAATATAAAAGTTAATCTTTATTTTAGTATTATTAACACATGTAAAATTTTAATTGATTGACTAAATAAATCAAAGTTAACATTTTGATTTTCTTACAATTTAATTACAAAAGGTGTAAACCATCTGTTAATAATCAATCATCAATAATAAATAGGCAATCATCATATTCGTGCTTCATAATTGATTACTGAGAGACACTTATTGTGTGCAGTTAATTCCGACAATGACTTAATAAACCTTGCATTAACTTCAAGTAATTGAGATTTAATGGAAGGAATTAATCGAGGAGATGAAAAACATTTCAGGGACAATTGCATATTTTGGGAGTTGAATAAATGACAACTTTTTTTTTTTTTTTACCAAAAAAAAAAAAAAAAAAAAAAAAAAAGAATAAATGACAACTTTGAACCTTTTCAAGAATACGAAGGACCGAACAGTTCTCTCAATCCTAAATTTTGAAAGAAATGATGTTGACTTATTGTAATGGAAGAAATTTGATAAAAGAAAAAACCAATTATGTAGGGATGATTGTTGTTAAGTCAATTATATTTCTGAGTTGCATTCGTTCCAATTGAATTTTATGCTTGCTTCATATATAATATTATATAATATAGAGATTAGTGTTTATAAAAAAATATTTAAAATTATGTTGTTTTAATAAAATAACATAAAAAAAAAAAAACAAATATCACTTAAAAAATAAGATGTTTTAGTTTTTCTCAATAAAATATATTAAAATGATGTAATTTTAAAATATTATTTTATCTAATTTTTTACAAATTTAATTGAAAAACGTTTTTTTTTCTTATAAATTAATTGAACATGATGTGGATTATAGGAACTTACCTTTTACATGATAGGGCGCATAATCGGGCGCATAATCATGTATATCTGGAAACAGGCGCACTGCATAAACAAAATTAGCCAACTGTTAGAAAAAACCAATTAGGTACAGATGATTGTTGTTAAAAAATAATATTGTTTGCTAGTAGTGATCATCAGCATTTGGTTGGTGACAACAATTGTATCTCGTAGTTGCATTCATTTAAATCAAACTAGCATTATCAAACCTGCTCGCAAGATGTTGAGATGTATATTTGTCTTTTAAACAGAAGAAAAAAATTATTATTAAAAATAAATAATAACATAAAATATATAAAAAAATGTAATATACATAAT